TAGGGAAAAGCATGGTTGCCATGGGGTGGCAGACTGATGATCAAGTGAGATCTAGATGCTGACTCAGGTCTTGAACTCAAGCACCGTGTACAATTAAGTATCAATAGGTTCAACCCTGCTACCAGAGTACAGGGATTAGTCCAGGAAAAGAATAGGATGAAAAGACAGGAAATTAAATGAAAGAGAATGAAAACCAACATGAAGCAATAGATGAGGAAATGGATGACATTTTCTATGCAACTATGTAGGACATACCTTTGCATGCCACTTACCTTATGTCTACTTTGAACGTGGCTGGGCTCTCAAAGTTGGGATGCAAGTTTCTGAGCATTGCATTACATAGCACAGCTATGCCTGACAGTTGTGTTCGGGGAAAATAGTAAAACATGTCAATAGTAAAGTACCTCTCTCCATCACTCAACCCTACTGTTTTCTCAGGACGCATTGAGAACTGGGACACGTGAAAGTTGCCTTGAAAAATGATGAAGTCTGTTTCTTCAGAGCAAACTCCACATTTGCAGTGTGGAGCTTGGCAGCCATGGCTGTGGGGCTGGCAGAAAAGCACTTCCTGGTGAGATCCATCAGGGCAGCTGTAGGGTCCATTAACAAAAGGAAATTCATCCCCTCGCCATGCTATCTTGGCTGTTCTGTTTCATTTAGTCCAGAGTCCCAGGGCCAGAAGTGAAGCTCATGGGGGCAGAACAGTGACCAGGCAGGACAGCACTTGGTTTCCTCAGGGCTTCTGAAAGTCTAAGCCATTTAATTTAAAAGTATCAAGCTCAGAAGGAAAAAACCCCCACATTACTAATCATTATTAAAGACAGAAAACTTTTGTTATGTCCTTCAGCTCAAAGAACACTAACGAGACATTTTCTTTCTCATGTACAGGGCAGCTGTGCCAAGGATTATGAAGAGTTCCCAAAGCCAAGCACCATGTTGCCTTTTCCTCCTCACCCCCTTAAGCCCAGCAGCAGCTTAGTTGGAGTGACACAGTAAGATTTTTTACTCAACAGCCCCACTTCTTCAAAATCTCAATATTCAGGAATATGCATAGCAGAAAAGATGTATGCACCTCCAAATGCTTCCTCAATCACAGGGGAATTGCACAACTTTCTCCAAACCACTGAACAAGTCTGAGAGAGGGCATCAAACCACAAGTCATCAAATTTCAAGCTGGGAGTCCAGTGACAGCATCCAACATCCTCTCTGACAGCAAATATAAACTATAGACATTAGCTACCAAAAAGTGATTCTCGCTGGCAGAAAAGATGCCACATTAAATTAAATTTTATTTAATTTTACTTCTGGCCCCAAAACACAGAGGGAAGAAAAAGGCTCATGAAAAAACACCAAAAGATAAATCCTGCTTCTAACCCAAATTTTCACTGTAGCTACTGGATAGTTGCAACAAAACATAGGAAACTTGGCCTGAGTGGTTGTTCAAGTCTCTTAACTAGAGATAGAGAAGAGGAAACTGAAAAGACAGAGGCAGAGATGAAGGCACAGAGGCAGACAAGACACAAAGAAAGTACAAACAAGAGCAAAGTTGCAAAAAGATTCTACAAAAAAATAAATCCATCCATCCATCCATCCATCCATCCATCCATCCATCCATCCATCCATCCATCCATCCAATTTTGTTCTACACAGAATACAATCTGTGATATACCAAATCTTAAAAAAATTTAAAAGCCAAAATAACAATCAAAAAAGGGCCCCCAACTTACCATCTACAGCTAACTGTGAGGTACAAAGCTGCTCTCATGAATAAGTAGATTGTAAATGAAACATTTTTTTATATCAGCTGGTAAGAGACATTATGTATGTGTAAACATTGCTTTACTTATAATCTTAGATCGACACAGAACCGCTAGAAACTGAATTCTTTAAATAAAGTTTTTGGGACGATAACTTTTGTAATCAAATGCTCATTACAAACACACATTCATTCTCTCATCTGAATCATGTTTCCTGTCACCTCAGAGGAGCTATCAATATCCGTTAACCTCTTTTGAACTCACTTCTAGATTTACCAGCTGAATTAGGAAACTCCACTTCTGTGGGTTGATTGTTGCAGTACGATGGTACAAAACTAATCCAGAATTAATGATGCATGGGCTGTTCTTTTGAGAGTAGTGTCTCTTTTAAGGAGTTATTGTCCAACTTCCAAAACCACAGAGGCCAAATAACTTTTACATGCAGGCGCCTCTTCTCTGTTTTGGGTAAGTAGCTGTGTGCCAGCCAGATGAGGAACTCGAGGGACTCACTTCCCACTGTCCTCTCCTCAGGAAAACCTTGTGAACTTTTCCTTGGCACGTAACGAAATGTGGTAAGCACAAGACCATAGCACACAATGGAGACATGGCTGTCCTGTCAGCAGATGCACAGTGGTGACACCAGCATTTCTCTCACATTATGTCCCAAGTTCCTGACTCCCAACACACCCTGTCCAGCTGTGGGGCCTTCTGTTGCCACATTTTAGTTTGCATGTTACAGCAGGGTGCAAGGAAAGCAACTCCACCTGCTTCTGTATGTGGAGAACAAAGGGCAGAGCATTCCTTAGTCCATTTCCTTGATGTCTCCAACACCACATTCCTTAGCCTTGGACCTTCAATCACTTGCAAGGGGAATTTAGATAAAGTTTATCAGCCACAGGCTGATAAGGTCTGCTGATATCTACTAAGACAAAAAAGCACATTAAAATGCTTAATACGCAGCATCTCCATTAGTTACCACATCAGCTACATCAAAACTATTTTGGCACCTCTGCACTCACGTGCAATGTGATAGGGTTTTATATTTTAAATGAACTTGCAAATCTTAGGCAGCTTGAACCCCTGTAGATAATCAATCATTTTGGCTCAAAGTCCCTCTGTAAGTACACATCGGTATCTGCAAATTAAATCAATGAAGAGAACAGGACACTGGGAAAAATAATCAGCTAAGGTCAGCAGCACTACATTGGCTGAAGATTGTTATATTTTGATTAAATATTAAAAATATTTGCATTTCTGATGAAAGCATAATTATATGCACTGCTGGAAATTAACATCCGAAGTCTTGACTGAAGCAAGAATTTCTGAGTTTTACCCAGTGCTGCCTCTAAAGGTGGCACTGAGTTCTACTGTAGATGCCATCCATACAGAAACGCTCAAAGAAAAAACAAATTAAAACTAAAGAATCATACTCAAAAGTCAAAATTGAGTCTGATCATGTAATTTTCAATGTTTACCATCACTCCCAATTGTTCCTATAGCACTTCAGCTTGTCATACAGCCTGAAGTCCCCAAACATTTCATACTAACTCTTCCTGTTCTCTCTCAGTACTTTTAAAAGTAGTTTACACAAAATATGAACCTCACAAAGCATTTCGGACTACATAAATCGAAGACTGTTCTTCAAAATTAGCAATAAAAGAGCTATTCAAGCAGTCAGGCTTGGAAAAGGAATGCACTGTAATTATTCAGCTTTGTGCCAATGAAAATAATCTAAAGTTTAATTTGCATTTGTTGTTCAATTTACCAGGGCATTTTTAACAAATATGAGATAAAATATCAATGAATTTTCTTGCTAAAGTTAGAATAAAACATAAGTAATAGTTGCTGTGCATTCACAAGCTGTAGTACGTATTCTTTAAACTGTACTGAAAAGTTTCTGCCACTGCTTTGTAGAAATACTCCCATTTTAGAATACCAAAGCAGAATTGAAAAGAGTAAATAGTAGATTTCAATAGATGGCTTTTTTCTAATATTTCTTCTATATCTTTAATCAAGTCTTCCTTTAATTTGTGTCCAGGCTCCAATATACATTCAAGTTAGAGTAATTTGATTGAAGAAATATAGTACTGAAAAGGACACTTTTCACCCAGTCATCTACAAAACACACTGAAGACAGATGATTCAAGATGACAAAACTGATTAAATTCACATGAATACAGCAAACAGACAGTCATGAATACTGACCACAGTTTTAAAGCCAATCTATCATTAGCTTGAGACTGAAGATATTGAATCTCACAATTAAATTTAATTTCATGGGTGCCACACCTGGCCACACTCCTGGACAACAGAATAGCTCTACTAGATAGGAGACTGCAAAAGGCAAACGTTTTTCTAAAATATCTATAAAGTAGCAAGGTGAACTGAAGTCAGTTCCACAGAGCAGCCCAGAATTTCCCTTCAGAAAATAAACACTCATATTTAGGGAAAAGATCAATTATGCCTTTCATAGAATGAGCATGATTCCACCTCACCTATTTCTCCAGATATGCTCTTTCCACCCCTCAGCTGGCCAGAGCTTAGAGTTTCCTTTATAAATATATTTGCCCCTCTCACTCCAACCACTATTTCTCATATTGCACTAGTTGAATAACATGCATTAGGGAGTTTTTTTTCTAGATCTGTAGCTATTTTTTTTTTGCTAAATCAGTTTATAGACGTCTCCTGAAGGTCTTTTACACAGCATCAGTATGTCTCAGGAAAGCCCAACTCCACATAACAAGCAGTTGTCTGCTTCAATGGGGTCCACGTGGGAAAGACATGTCAAGGAACACTCCACAGCTCACAGCATTTATATCCATAGCACCAAGATACAGTTTAACCATGTTCATCCTTAACCTGTGCTTATATCAACATAAGTTTGTCATCTGTTACCACAAAGTGATTGCCCATTTTGATTTAGAAAAATATTTTTAAAATCATAAACCCCAGAAGCATGAAGTAAAAGGGCCTATGTCTAGCTTGTTTATGAATGAGTGAGTGGGTCTTTGGTCAGAAAACAATCTTGTCAGTGCAACTTTATGAAATACATTCCTTATGCTCACTGAGTTGGAATTAAACAGAGTAAAACACGGCAGGAGAGACAAGGTTCAAGAAAATAAAAGCTTAAATAAGAACTCTGGCCATAAGAAATCAGTCTACTTTTAATACTGTTAATGCTTATTGTTCCGTTGAATATTCCGTTGCTCCACAGCATGGAAAAAGCAAACAAATCACAAAAGAAAACATTAGAATATTTTTTTTAATTTTTATAAATAACTTATCTGTTACAAAGGCAGTTTACCCAGCTAAATCACAAAACCATCAACTCAAAGATATCCAAATTAGGTTTTATTAATAAACAGGTAAAAACTGATTTGTCAATCTTCACATAGAACTGCAGATGAAGCTGAAAAACAAGGCCTCATTTTATAAACAAAATGCATTGAATGCAAGTGCTTTGGGTCTACTGCCTAATTACCTGGGATTGACATTTTTTTCCCACATAAAAAAAAAAAAATGCAAAGCCTTCAAAACAAAGGCCTCTGTGCATTCACATAGATCACTTGTAAAACTCCTAATAAAAGTGTCCACTGGAAGATGTTTACAGTGGGTGACAGTCTACTTTGTCTCTTGCTACATTGTTAGCACTCCCTCCAGCCTCACTAAGTGCTGCTGCTACATAATTCTTTGCGTGCCGTCTTTTATGCATAATGTACTGGAATTCCATTTTCTTGATCTCTGTTACATACATCCCCGATCATGTGAATATTTTCCTTAAAAAAATAGATCATCAAAACAAAAGAGATGCTTGAGGTTGCTTCAGTGTTCAAGTCTGTTTGATTTCTCTTTTCCAGCCTTTATTTCAGTTGTCCTAAATATTGCTATCCTTGTTTTCTATAAATATGAGACTTCACCACAAAGTCAGGTTTAGAAACTGGCTGCCAAAACAGGAAAGCATTTAAAGTCCTTGAACAAAGCTGTATGATGCTGCTGCTGTTGATTTTGGCACTGTATGTACTTCCCCAATGAATCTCTCTTCAGGAATCTGCAAGACACCCAGCAGATGAAGCAAGCTTAACTCGGATGCTGATCTGTTGGTGGGTTGAAAGTTTCCTAGTATAAAGTTTCCTCACACCAGACAAAATGCTCCCTTTGTGTCACCCACCGTAAAACTCAGTGTACAGAGTGAACTATATGCATAATTCTTCCAACTTTTCCTGCACTTTTACCACGCTGCATCTGCAGGTCTTCACAGATCATCAGCATTTACAAGAGCAATGTACAGAACGAGCAGAGGAAAGCTATTTTGTGCATAGTTTCTTATTAATGCTCTTATTTTAAGGCATTGCTTCTCTCAGATAAAAGCTTAAAAAAAGGGACATGATCGTGCTTAATCACTTAAAGGGAAAAAAAGAAAGTTAACAAAAAGACTATTACACTATTATACATACAGAAGTACAAGAAAATAATAAAGGTGAGGAAAAGAAATCACTTAAAGCAGGCTCTAGAGCTATGTACAGTAGGAAAAGCTTTGGGGTATTTCACTGTGTGTATCGTACAGACAACGCATGCAGTTTTTCCTTTTCATCTTTAGATGTGATTGTACTGATTTCTGGTTTCACAGAGATGTTTTCAGGGAAGACAAGGCAAGGAGTACCACTGATTTGTGAAGTTCTTCCCTTTATCAAAGGCACTATGTGGCAGCAAACAGTTTAAATATTTAAACCTTGTTCCTTTTAAGATCTCCTCTGTGCATGTAGTGTTTCACTGAAAGCTCTGAAAACAAAAACACTAGCACTCTATTCCTTTCCCCTGTCAAAATTCAGCAGTGACATGGGGGCAGAGAAGAGGATGGGCAACACCCAGGCACTGAACACGGTGTGTGTTACTGGTAATACTGTACATGGTTTAGGCAGCTGGCGAGTCTCTCAGCCGATTGCCCTTCAGCCGATCAGCGTCAACTGCCTGTGACACAACTCTGAGGTATTGCTTGCTCTGTGGGCTGACATTTAACATTAGCAAAACGCCATCTCGTCACACCTTCCATTTTACAAAATCCTATGCATAAATGCGTTTTTTGCCCCCCAATGCCTGGACAATTCCTTGTACTATTGCTATGGTTTTACGGAAGGTAATGGGCCTGTTGGCTCAGAAATGCCTGGGCATTTCACACTGTTCACAGCGATTTAAGGCTGGATGATTTAAAAAAGTACAGGCGGTACAACTCCACTGAGCTCCCTCATCTTCATCTGTGTCTGGAACAGTCTTTGGTGTTTTCACAGTGGGCCTCTGATCTGTGACATGGAAGAGATAAGATAAGCAGTTACTAACTGAAAACAGCATGGAAAGAATTTAGAGATTTTTTTTTTCAGTAACTGAGAACTATCTTGTTCCTCTGAGAACAGCACTGTTATTAAAAGTGACAGAATCAGATTTTTACCACCCCCTTGACTACAGCTTGATTGTAGGTCAGCCAAAAGGCTCAAGGTAAAACTACAAAAATCAACTTCCCCATCCCTTAACTCTGCTTTCTTCCTTTTCTTCCCTCAGTTCAAAGCTACTGCATAAAAAAAGAGGTAAAATTTGCAAATTAATCAGCCCCGGATTAAACATGGACAAGATTTAGAAGTCTGAGGTCTACGGAGTGGTCTAAAATTCATTATGACAAGAAGTATGTGCTTGGTAACCCTTTGACATGTTTAACTTTTTGATCCTAGAAAGAAGGTGGCAGTTCTTCAAGCCAGCTCAGCCGGCAGATATACTAAAGAAAAACCATTGCCTGGCTCTGTCATGCTACAGAGTAATCCTCCCAACCATACCAACACATCTTTTTGCATGATGTGTTAGACCGCAACCTTCAACTATTTTAAAAGAGAAAGGAAGAAGAGAGAAAAGGAATGATAAGGATGAAAAGAGAGATGAGTGACTTCTCAAGTTAACAGTTCCCTGATTTAGGCAACTGCAAAATCCTTTTAACCCATTATTTCATCTGGAGAACACCTCATCAGCAACCAATGAACGGCAATTACTACAAAATGACGGCAAGAACTCCAGAAATACAATGGTACTGGATCACAGTTGCAAGAAGAATTATTTTTGTTCTTCTGTGAACAGCAGTATTTCTGGTTTAAGTCAAAGCCTACATGATAGCTAAATTGAAGCTTAAAATTAAATTAAAATTAAAGTCAATGAAGAACTAAGATATAGAACTCATCTAAGTGAGTTTCACTGGTCTCTAAGCAATATACCTCATGCTCATTTTTAAAGAAAGATGGATGCTCCCATTACATAAATTACCTTACAATATATTATCCATCTTTAACATAACCCATTTAATATACTTCTCTTTCCTGAATGTATGAATAGAGAGGAAATGAGAGCAAACAGAAGCATACTTACTGCCAATACAAATAAAATGCAAGGTTTGTGTGCTTCTGAAGTAATGTATTTCATAATCAACACTAAAGATTCGTAAATTAGAACCTGATATTAGATATAAACCAGGTATTTGTATCAAATCCAACTTTTATCAATACAATACCTTTGGGTTTTGGTGGCACGGGACCAAGAAATCCAATATTATCGTAAAAATTATGAATAGCGCTGGGATTAAAATGTGGTCCTAAAAATAAAAAAAAAAAAAGTGCAGCAGTTTAAAAAAATAAACTTCAGTAGGGAGGCATATCAGTTTTTTCTGGCAGTAATTCTGTAACAACACTGTTATTCACTTATCACCTTTTATAGCAAGGTGTCAATACAGACCTAAGTGAGATACAGTGATTTCAACAACACACTTTAAGAAACTTACTGTCTAAAATATGCAATATAAAGTCAGAGACAAAATCTAGCAAACTAAACTCCTTTAAAGGTATCTTTTTCTGCTACTCTTCAGGATCATTTTGCTAGTAAATCTTAGCTGACTTTTTCTAAATTGCAACTTTACTCAGATATATCTTACCTACTATGCAGTGCTTATACCTACTATACATGCTTAGAATTAAAACTCAGAGGAAGTTCCAAATGCAATTTACTGTAACAAGCAAAAGAAAAAACAATCACCCACCATTGACTCTATTTAAAGTCAGGTTTTTAGAGCAGCATTACATTCAGCACACTTGTCTACCTTCTCCTAAACTGCAGGTACTCTGTCTGAAGCAGAACTTTTGTGGCTCACGTCCCAACTGATCTAAGAGCTCACTGCTGCTGAAAGTGGGAAGTATCCCTCTCACTATCTCAGTTCTCCCTTCCTGTGCCTCTCCCTCACATAAGCTGTAGCAAGCTTTTCCAGCAATGCAAGTTTTAGCTTGGCTCGTGAACAGAATCAGCTCTGCAAAGGATCTAAAAAACTAATACAGAGCCAGAGCTCAGTAAGTGGCAAGAGAGAGAAGCAGGAAGAGCGAAGGCTTTCTTGTTGGCAGTTCTTGAACTGGCTCAGCTGTCTCATAATTTTACCCCCATGACCAAAGGCTGTGTCCCTGCAGACAAGGAAAGCAGAAAGCACACTGGAAGTTATAACTGCACTTTATATTTGCTAACTTGAGATGGTAAATACAGACAGAAGAGGAAGACAAAAGAGAGAGATGGATACATATGTATAGTTGTATCATTCGAAAAACTTACTCTCTTTCTTTGGTACTCAGATAACCAGATTTTCCCCCCCAGCATTTAACAAATAAATGGCATCACAAACTTCTGCCTTCTGAGCCAAGTATAAAATAGGAATGACTGTGGGATTAGGAAAATCATATGGCCAACAAAAACAACAGGCTTTAAAAGACAGTTACTTCCACGGTTTCACTCAAACCAATGTGATTGTTTTGCAAAAGGTGTGTATATCCATCATTTATGACACAGACTTTTTTGAAACATGTGGACAGTGAAAAAAAAAAAAAATCAACATTTACAGTTACTGATGTACTAAGACATACTGTACCTCTTGCTTGAAAAAGATCAATCTCTTTGGTTAGGCAATCTATGTCTATCTGCAGCTGTCTGTTACAACTTCTTAACTGTTGCATTTCTTCCAGCTGAAAAAATAAATCTGCCTGTTAGACTAATTTTCCCAGTTTATGAACAGTTATCATTCACGCACAGGTAGACAGCATTTAGTTATTGCAGAAATTATGATAAAAGAATCTTCCCTAATGACCAGCTTTCTTTTAATCCAAGCATAAACTTACAAAAACCTGCCAGACTCACTGAACAGTTCTCTCTCATCAGACTTCAGAGCTGACTGAACAACTCCAAACTGCAGAAAGGACACAGCCAGTGGTCTGGTCCACCAGATCAATGGATGATCATCTAGCACTGAAAACTGGTGCATTAATCAGTTTCTCTGAGCTCAGTATATGCACCAAGACCAAAAAGTACTTGGTGTGATAGCAGTATGAGTATTAACTTGTAAGGACTACCAGGTCAAACCTTTTGTGACAGCCTTTAAAAGCAATACTTCACAAAGCAATTAGCAAACGGCAAGGTTGTGGTTAAATGACACATTTTTAGTCCTTACGCTAAACTCTGTTTACCAGCTTAATTCTAACTACACTGCCTGTCCCTAGTACATTACCAATATATGAACAACTCTTCCTTCAATTTATTGTGACAGACCACACTTCTGGTTTAGGTTTATACCCTATAGACATTTCAACTTACTGATGGAATTTGGGAAACAGAATTCGATCTTTTCAGGCGCCTTCGTGTTAGATTATTCTCCATTTCATTGACCTCTGATTTTAGTTTATCCAACTTTTTCTTTTGAACCTCAAGCTCTCGTTGAAGTCGCTCCATCCTGGCCTTCTGGTGTACCAGTAAAGCTGCAATACATAAAGTCCCATTTTATCTACTTTATTATCCTTCACATGGCAACATCAGCTTAAGATGCAAGTTAGTACTCTTTTGGGAAAAAACAGAAAAAAACACTACTACAGACTGCTTTTCCAAATTTCCTCACAAGAAAATCTCTGCCATAAGATAGTGCTGTATTTTTGATAACAGCACAAACTAACTATAGATAAGCAAATATGAGAAAGCCATACAAGGTAATAAATGGCCATGCAAAATTGAACTGTAATTTGTAAAATTCTACAAGACTGACTACCTAAAGCTAGGAACAAATATTTCTTTGTGTATTCATCTTAACCACTGTAAAACAGGTAGGATGAAGAGGATTTCAGACTACTGCAATATGGAGCGCTACATATGCTAATTGCAATTAGGATTGGATCCAGTGTTCATCACAGTCGGACCCATCAAATGAAACCAAACCAGATATAAGCACACCACTAGCTTAAAACTGTGATATTTGACAAAAGCTGGATTGTATGTCATTTTACCCCTAAACTACAGTGCAGAATCATTAGCTCAGCTTCTAATTTCTAAAACTGCTTACTATTTGTAAAGCAAAAGGCATAAGGAGACATAATTTAGAAACAATAAAGTTAGCATATAAACCACAGTTTTTTAAAGGTATAAAGAACCTAAGTAGCAGATGACACAAATCAATGCAACCTAAAAAGTTTATTTCATTGAAGACAGATTTACTATTAAATATCATCACAAAAGTAGGTATCACTGCTCAAAGTAATAATCACCTTCTATAATAATGTATTTCATTAAATAAACCAAAGAATCATTTCAACTTCTGCACAGCCATTCATTCATCCATTAAACTAGTAATTCATATAAACTGTGATCGGTTTCACAGACTATGAATACCTTTATTATCATCCTGGAAATTATAAAGAAGTAGCAATAACAAGGTATTTTAAAAATATTGAATTTGCCTCACAAAGTCTTTAAGCCAAACTGTAGCTGGAACACGATGGTTTATTCCTCACAATTTCTTCAGGTACCAAAAAATTAGAAGCACTCAGATCAGCTTGCCTAGATTTCCCAAATAGCAGCAGAGGAAAAAAACATCAAAAAGATGCAATGTTCCACATCTTTGGCAAGCAGAAGTGTCTTCTCCTGCACCTCCTGCCTGCTCGCTCATTCATTCATTCATTCATTCACACATTGGCATTTTGTCTTCCAGAGGTTCTCTAAAAGGAGGAACCATGCCAAACTATTTTTGAACAGTGTTACAGATTGTAAGGCCGTATTCAGATTCAACCGAGGCTTTTGAGACACAAATTTTCACAAGATACTGAAATGACACCTAGTTTCTGCTGCATTTTGTTCAAATCAGGGAAGTTTTCATAAACATACCTTTATCTTGGTTCACGGTAGTGACCTAAAAATTGCAGTAAAAATTGCAGCTGTGCTCATACGTAAAATAAAATTGTAATAACTGAAATCTCAAGATAAAGATTTTTGTTGAAGAATGGGAATGAGCAGGTAAGTAATCTCAACAGTCTCTCCTCTTGAAAATCTGCCTTTTACAAACAGCAAATGTAGCTGCAAGTTTAAAGAAAGGAAATCAAAGACTACTTTGCCTCTACTCCTGCAGGGAGTGTACAAGCCCTTTTTCTTTCTACATTGTATTTCCACTTTTAGACAGTTTCTTCTGTTTTCATTACCTTAGTAAGACTGCTGAGGCAACACAGCCATGCTCCACTGCCTAGACTCAGAACTCTTCAGACCTGTCAAACTGTGGATGCAGGCTGCTGGCAAGTAGCCAGTGCAGCTGGATGTGGTAAGTGAGGAGCATTGTTACCAGAATATCAGGTTGCACGGCATGGCATGGCCTCAAGAGTTCAACTATGACCAAGACTTTGCCTGTGCATCCCTCATCTCCTTTTTTAAGCTACTCTTGGTAAAGGAAAAAACCGCATGATTTCTCATTTTGATGTTCTCTCACTTGCGAGGTTTAGAAATTCAGCTGACATGGAGCTGCACAAGGAGGAAAAGGCACTGATGGATGCCCACAGCACTATTATATGCTTTTCATTTTCATGTCATGTCTGGAAAGTTATGCAATTTATTCTCCAAGGAACTTTGTGACTACCATATGACAATTTCAAATCCCAACAGGTTTTAAAAACACACATCAAAAATTACCGTTGTGATTAAAGAAGAATTACTTGATACCATTATGCTATCCTTCTACTACTAAAAGTAACTTTGATAAGGAACTTGAAAGAGATTGGTTTAAACTGAGACTTTCATATATAATTTGGTAATTTTGCTTAAATGTCAATTTGGCAGCTGCAGGAAAACAATGGTGGGGAAAGACAAAACCCTTCCTGTATTTCAGTGTGGTATTTATGAATGGAAAGTGGCAATTTAAGTATTCAGCTCCCTCTAGTGTTGCTCAGAGCAACTGAAAATGTTCAGAAAAACACTGCAGTTCAACTTAATTAAATGCAAACAGGATATTTGGCACATTTAGCTTTTTACACTTCTGCACATTTGCATTTAGCAGAGTGCAGTACACTTCAATGCTCAGGTAGATGCCACTGTTTCCTCTAACATCCACAGTGCACATCTTTCACATAAAGGCTATGTATCATTATAATTACAGGTAGGAGCATAAAAGTCTGGAGGACAAAAGTTCACTCTTCCTCTCCCAGAGACTTTCTAAGTCAGGCAGTAAAATACCTTTAAGTTTGTAAATGTATGCATAATTGTTTTCTCAAAGACTCTGTGAATGTGAATTTTAAAGTCAGACTGTCCTTTAAGTGTTTCTAAGAGAAATTCTAATCTAGCAATATAACGATTTTGCCCTATTCTATAGACCTATATATTTCTTAAATATCTTAGTTTGCCAGATATGGAGGGGACTTCTGGCAATGCAATTACACTGTGGCAGGAGGTTCATGAGAGTCTCAAAACACAATTATGCTTGTGCATGTTTTCAAAACCTGTATTTGAAGCTGCACAAAATTCAGTCATCTGATATACAACTTCAATAGATCAAACTTTCGTTTTGTTCTCGCTTTTCAATACTCTCTTCACTTAATTTTTTAAAAACAGCATCACTGAAGAGTGGGGCCTGATATACAGAGCCAAATATAAAGTGGTGTTTTTTTCTTAGACCACATGATGCAATGGGTTCAGAGCCCCTTGGAGCATGGGCCACAGCAGTATCTCATTCAAGTCCTTTTTCTTAACCATATACAAGGACTGGCTAAGTATTAAATAAATTTGTTTCTTGTAGCTTTATTTATTTTTTTAAGTTTTAAAAAGCTCCAAGAAACCAAAGCAAGAGCTGTGCAAAATGTCAATTTACTGATCCAGTTTATTAATTTATTTTTTTACATTAAAAACACAGCAAGAATTGCTAAACAAACATGCTCCACATATGTGACTATGATTGGTGCCAATGATTCACTCAATTCCGCAAACCATCCTCTTTCAAGTTAAAGAAAATAATATGAAGACATCAGACAGTCAAAGCCTTATAATATTTAACAAAAGGACTTAATTCCCTAGCAAGAAAACCTAGTGATTTTATTACATAATTAGGTATTTTCTTGATGGGATGCCTTCCCATTATACAGATGGAAAGCTACATGTAGAATGAACAACTATTAAGTAACTGTTCAGCCTCACTACTCATGTGACATGCATACAGAGCATACATCACAAAATTATATCTGAGTACAGAATTTCCAATTTCTAACAGGATTCCAATTCTTCATCCATAAGAGACTTTATACTAACCTAAATTATATATTGAAATCTCACTTAACTACTTCATATTAATAGAACTAATTATAAATTGAATTCTCTAATGTAATGAGAATACTCCTGCACACTGACAGAAGTGATTACTGAACAGAGGAGCATAAAAATGCATCCTCTTTCAGCTGTCCTTCTGGGCATGCACCTAGCATTACTCAACTCATAGCATCATGAATTCTTACTGACTTCAACAGTGGACACACGCACCCAACATTTCCACAAGCGAGTCCTCAGTATCACAAACTAGAATCCTAGAAAATGAGAAACATCCCACAGCAACCAGTTCTCAGAAGTCTGGTGACAGTGAGTTTCTTAGGATCACAGAGTCAGTGCCAGATATACAAGCAAGCATATTAGGGAAATAATATTGATTTTATCTGAGTAGTACTCCTTTACACATTATATAACCTCCAGGTTTGGCAGCAAATAAGACAGAGATCTGGGGCAGCCTTCTACTACCTGCTGTGATTTTCTTGGGAGGGAAACCTAAAATACGGAAGGAGACTCAGGTGCCTACACACACTGTAATTAAGTAAAGCTTGTTTGATGGCAAACAGAGAGGTCCAACACATCTTCTGTTCTCCTGGGTTGGACCATGCATATAAATGTAAAATAAATAAAAAGAGCAAAGGAAACTTCATTTGACATCAAAGCACATCCATTTTCCATCCCAAGGTGTCTTTTCCCCCAAGTCAGTTTCAGCTCCCCCTGCAAAGATAAGGAGCATTCTGGCAGAAATGGAAAAGCTGATGAAAAAACATTTTTCTCTAATCACGGCCAGAGAAACTACTCATCTCTGCCTAAATTAAAATGAAACAAGCACCTTGCATGGAAGGATTCTGGCAGTCTGGCTAAATCATAAGCAGTTTAGAACACATAAAACATCAAGTAACTCAAATCCCTTTTTGTATGTAAGAGAAAAAAAAACACTGCTAAGTGTAAGAAACATGTTTAAAAGCAACAGTTGGGACTTCAGATATCAATATCATACAAGTAAATCTACCAAAGACTTCTCAACTTTCCAAATATTAATTAATAACAAAAATGTAAGAAACACTGCACTTATTGCAGCAGAAATGGAGCACACATGCAGGAAATGCAAAACATCACTACATGTGAAGAACTTCAGAAGTATAAGCGCACTTTCTAGTGAAGGACACAGAAGGATGGTGATTTCCTGAGGTCCCTAAAGTTGTACCAGCCCACATCATACATCTACACATCATCTAAAAGCTGCAGCTTGGCTTCAGGAAGAACTGGGCCCCACAGCAGGTATGAAGCCAATGCTTCTGGAACTCTAGATCGTGTATCAAGCTTGCCTCACCTCAACAAACTGAATGCTGATACCTGCAGCTTGTAGAGATTGTGCAGGAGATTACAGTGACCCATCACTACCAAGCGTACAAGAGATAAAGAAGTAGACTGGTAGAAGGCAGTGCCCTCAAAAAGGAAAAACAGAAGGGACAACTCCCCAAAAAATATCCAAAGTGCCGTTTTGCAACCCCCTAAGAAGTACCCAACTTGCTTGGGAAGCAAGTTCATGATCTAGAGTAGTGTTTAGAGCCTAAGGACAAGATTTCAATTGCTTAATTTATGGTATATGAAGTTTTCCAGGACTAAGACTAAGACAGGTAAGTCTCCCTTCAAAGTAAGAAAAGAAAATATGATCTGAGGGGTAATTTTTTTGCTTACCTACAGATGAATTTTCTGAAGTTCTTTATACAGTGAACGTAAGAGAATGTAAGGAAGATTAGCTTTTTAGGTTTGACACATAACCTTTAGAAACTTTTGAGTTAGGATTGACTATTCCTCACCAAAGAAGTAGTACACCAGCTAGAATCACTTTTTGATTTACTTCATTAACACAGTACTCCAGATGCAGACCTGGCTTCCAGTCCTGATCACTGTACTTACTTATACAAAATAAAATGGCTAAATTAGTCTGAAGAATGTTTACATTGGTCGTGGAAGAAGCCAGTTTTTTTAATTAACTGTTTGCTAAGTCCAGAGAGGACCAGTGAGGTCAAAGGCAAATTATTTTGACAACCTATTGTGAATACTGCTTAAACAACCTAAGTCTCATTCAACATTTTTATGTAAAAAGCTTACAGGAGGGTTAATAAACCATCAAGTTGGTAATAAAAGCATGCAAACCCATGAAAAAAGAAGAAAAACATTAACAGATACGTATCACATATTCTAAGTTTTATCCCTCCGATACCACTGATCCCTTAAAACAGATTCCTTTGGTTTGGTGTTTCTTCTCACATTTTAAAATGTAACAGAAGTGAGTGTCAAGACTTTAAGCATTTTATTGTCAGACACACAGCAGGAAACATGAAGCCCAGGCGAACACTTCGTCCCATTAATTGCTTTTAAAGTCTATTTTTCTTTCTTAAATAACACTCGCAAAAAAAAAAAAAAGAAAATAAAAGGGAATATTATCCAATGTAAACACTACCTCAACTGATTAAAAAATCTGACAACAGAATTGTAACTTTAAATCACTAGGACAAGTCGAACAAACGTAGATGTTTCTTTCACAACAACATAAAGATGGTATGACTCGACTTCATTAAACTGATAACATATCTACTTAAGACAAACAGAAGAATATCTCCAAGTATTCAGTTACATGTCATTACCATAAAAAGAAATCTATTATTTGCTTATAAACCACTTTTATTTATTTAGGAAACACAAATACTAAAATTAAAGATACTGTATTAACATCACAAAGGTTATTAACTGGTTCCTTTTCTGCAATCTACACACTGAATTGACAACCTGGTCAAAATCTCTACAATTTATATTAAGAATATTACCTTGCGTGTAGGCAGCATCATCAGATCCCATACTCAATTTCCGTGCATCACTGATCCTATCCACATGTGCTAAAACAGGGTCAGTAAGATGCTGGATACCCTCTGGTTCAACATAGTGATCAGGAAGGTTTAGAAGGTTTGTAGGTTCAAAAGTTGGGGACACTACCCCTGGGGAAACTGCAGGGGGCTTATTTGGAGAAACTGTAATTTTAAAAGTATATTTTGTGTTAGGCTGCGTAACAACCACTCGAGGAGAAGTTGCAGTGGTGCTGTTGCCCACTGCTCGACTCTTGGGTGGATGGTGATGAATAAATGCAGGACCCATGCTTACTTGACCAGACATATTCCTAGCAGTAGTAGATACTCCAGGATTTGTTGATATGAAAAGTGTGGGCTGGTTCCGCACAAGTTGATCATCTCCTGTCGTGGCATTTGCTGAAATGTAGACCTTGGGCTGACCACGTGTGATCACTTCATCAGTATTTGGAGGACTGGCCGATATGTAAACAGTGGGTTGACTTCTACTTAATGTCTGGCTGTTGAGGGAAGAGGGAACAGTGGAGGTGCGAGGGCCAGTTGAACGCAATTTAGAGGAACTGTTTCTTTGTGGTGGTTCAAGTTTGATTTCAATTTGATTTTTGCGAGGTCCTGTGGATATATTTTGAATGTTGTATTGGCTATGAGCAGAAGATTGTGAGCTACCAGATGAATGAATCATAGGTGCTTGTGGAGTAGTAGGAGAACTGATAGGCATGTACACATGAGAAGTCTGGTGGCCTTGCTGGTTTGGCTGTGTTGAGTGTTGCGATGAGGTATGTGGCGTAGTACTGGATGTAGGAATAGTAGTCCAGGGACTTGGCTGAGAAGGCTGGTAGACTTGCTGAGGGTGCATGGGATTAAACTGAGATGCCCAGCCTGGCTGCTGCTGTGTCTGTCGAGTGGTACCACTAGGAGCTGTGATGTAAGGCCTAATATAGATAGAATTTCCCTGGGGACTGTTAAGTACAGGAGGAGGTACACCATGTATGTGCAAAGATGTTGGGGTATTGCGACCAGGCTGGATGTTTGGGGCTAAAGTTACCATAATGGGGTTGAATCTGGGTGTTTGTTGAGACAAGTTAGATACTCCTTTGCTGCCTAGGTGAAATCCAAGATGCTGCCCTGGATTAGAAGCACTAACTGTATTAGCCATCCCAAAGACATTAAATCCTTGTGGAACCTGCGCAGGTGCTGTCTGTGGTTCCTGCTGAAACAGTTCATTGTTGGACTGACTGGTTTGAAGGTGTCCATCACTAACACTGTGAGCTAGAGTCCTACTTCCATTCATTCTACTTCCTTCTCTTCCATGGTGATAGACGTTCTGTGACTGCAAATCCAAATTAAGAGATGTCATGTGATTTCGTAGTCCAGGAATCCCAGAATCATCCGAAAAACTCAGGTCTCCTTCACCGTAGAGATACTTTGTGCTCTCCTGAGAGAGAACTGCACAACAGGCATCCAAATTATTGTTATTCTAAAAAAAGACAGATGAAAGTTTGACATTACTGATCAAATACTGTCACAGTTATGTATGAATACATCCAATCATAACTGAAAAATTAACAATACAGCATCGGATAGAAAGCTTTAGGTGGCTGGCTAGCATAGCTGCTCTACACACACAAAAGGCTTGCATGTGAAGCTCACTGCTCTGGGAACAGTTACTCAGCCAGAGGCACCAAGGGCAGAGGTCTGCATTGCCTCTGAAGCAGTGACAAGGAGATGCTGCACCTTGGCAAGCTAGCTTTTAAAGTATAATACGTCTTGGATGAATACTTCCCCTATTCCTTCTCAGTTTCAGAACCATCTTCAGCAGAGACCAAATCTCTGGCTTTAGGGAAGAAAATGACAGCAGGAATGGATTCACAGCATCTGCATAGTATTGATTAATAACTTAAAAACAGAAATAAAACCACGTTTATTTTAAATGTCTTCTCAAACACTTCAATACCAGTTATGCATTACCTCCTGCTGAAAACAGAAAGTGAATCTTATGAAGAGAAGAAACATGCTGATCCATGGAACTGTACATGACTTCAGAAGAAATGTAAAAATTCAGTTTAAACAAATACAGCAGGATTACTCTTTTGTAATATAAAACTATTAATTGAAAACCCAGAGGACGTTCGTGTTTTCATTTTAAACCACTGGTTGCAAAGCTTTTAAATACTTATATTTGTACCTTTTGAAGCCCGTAATAGGATGACTTAGAACAGAAACCACAGCCTAGCTAATTCTTTCTTAAGAACATTTCAGAAACAAACTGCTAATCTCTCTTCTCCTTTTCCACATGTTTAATATATTGTACTCTAATCTTCCCAATTCAGTTTCCTACATAAGGATTTTTAGAAACACTGAACAATGCATCAGTGACCTAATTTCTTCATACTGTGCTTCATCTTCACCACCTTTCACACAGGACCTCCGATACCCCAAGAAATAAAGGTTAATACTTTCAGCCAGAAGAGCACCTGTTCAGGCCCACGTTATTAACACTACATAGGTGGCAAATCCATCCAGCACATAGAAACAGTTACTAGAAAAAAATGCATGTGATCAAGAAAAAAAATTGCATGTGCCAAGTAGCAACATCATCAGTTAGTTACAAAGTAACACAACCAGATAAACTGATCCATGCTACATGCTTTCTATGATGTCATTTTTGTTAAACTAGCAGACATTTCTCATTCGTCAACCACGATGAAGGTGACAGTGTTGTGCAGACATACCAAGACTGTCTCTACCTTACAGAGGTACAAAAAAAAAAAAAAAAAAAAAAAAAAAAGAAAACAAACAGAAGTGGGAGAGGGATGACAAGGCTAAACTTCACCAAACCCCAAAACTATGTGTTCATACAGACCAGATACAGTTCTGAATTCTTCCAAATAAAAGTAAAAAACAAAAAAGAAAAAAAACAAAAAAACCCCAGCCGCAAAACTTTTTAAAATGACAGGATTTCCTAAAGGCTATCTAACAAGCCAGCTCTATAAAAGGATTGCTGCAAAAATGTATTCAGAGATATGAAAACGGATCAAACTGATGATATGTATATTGGCTCTAGTTTGGAATAAGCACCAGAGGACAAAGTAATCAAAGGAAGTTAGTAGTGAAGAAAGGAAACACGCGGACAGAACAGTGGGTAAGAGAAGATAAGAACAATAGCCTGGTATTTGTTGCAAAGGAGAAAAAGGAGCCAGAAAAGGGAAAAAGATAGGATGCCACAGAAAAACAAGCTTGAAAGATCTCAAAGGCAGATTTTGCATGAAGTGAATTAAAATTATTAACAGAAAGGCCAAAAATACCAAACCAAAAAGGAACAGGCCAAGCTTGCAAGGCCCTTACATTCAGCTTGAATGCATTTCTTTGGACAATTTTTTTTTCTTTTTAAAGACCGCATCCAATCAATTCCAAAATTTCAGTGACGTCAATGAGAAAATTGGAGAACTCAAAGGGGAAACGGGGGCACATGGAACCCCTGGCATCTTCTGGCTGGCAGAGGCAGAATTTCAACCGCTTCTAGCTCTTTACAGATCAGAGAACCGGTTGATGGCAGAACTGAGCATATTCCAGCAAAACAATACCCCTCATCTTATCTCTGCCCATGTCCCAATTGAGTTTAAAATGTTGGCACCCTGAAAGAGAAAGAAAAAAAAAAGAAAGAATAAGAATGTTGGAGGGAAATGAGGAAGCAAGGAGAGGACACAGACTTGAGGAGCAGGTGTAGAATGCTCCGGACACAAAAAATAGAACAACAGGGAACAATGTCCACAGACTGTCGACACTGCAGTGACTCCTTTAAATGAGGAGAATGGGAGAGCTGAATGTAGGAGGATTGTTGGGAAGAACAGAAGGATACAAAACTTTTTAGGAATATTCAGTGCTGTCAGCCCAAGACATTTCACTCCCTAGATGAAGCAGTTTTCTCCTAAGTTTCCTCCTATTAGCTCCTTAGTGGTTTTCTGTTTCTAGTATGCTATATATTGTTCAGGTATTTCAACAGAGGGCTATTTAACTCGAGGTATTTGCATACCCTCTTTAAGTTTTTCATTATAAGCATATAATGCTATAAATCTTTATTTAGAAACAGCTGTAAGCGATTTGCTACAAAGAATTCATGGAAGATGACTCAAGTATCTGTACATTTTCTCTGCACAATTCACAGTGATCCAAAAAAACTTTCCTTGTTATAAAAGCCTCATCAATAATACTATAAACTGCATAATTGTTTATATTCTTTCAGATTCTCATCTGGAATATCTTACAATTATTAGCTTAAAAATCACTTCATCCTGACATATAATGCCTGCACATAAGGTACTGTGAGGGCAAGGCATTTCTTACATCAAATGTCCTCAAGTACTTGTCTTTGACCTAAACTACACTTACTGACTTCATTGGAAATTCCTTCCACTATGTTCAGCTACAAGGTGGCAGAGCTCAGGACTCAGACACTGTTCCAGCAGCATTGAAAACATATGAACAACTATTCCCAAATTCTGCTTTTCAATCTTTCCCATCAGTCCAAGTACAAAATTCGTTGGTTTAAAGAAGTCAGGCAGCTTTTAAAAGAACAACTCCCACAAAAACGAAACCCAAACAAACCAATCCCTGACCAAAAAAAGAGTAACAAAGCTAGAAATTGTATCAGAGAAACCTGAGCTCATGAAACTCCAAAGAACCACCAATATGACAGGATTTTCTTGGTGAGTCTTTAGCTCTCAGTTCACAAAAAAGGTAGCTTTCCATTGTGACAGTTTAGTTTAATAATACTGCACGCATGGGACATTAATTACTCTAGACTGTTTTTGAAAGATCCTCTTATGAAAGCTAACTTAAAACACTTCCTCAAAATCTAAACTTTTCCCCATAAATCTTTCATAATATGTATCTTTTCTTCACAGTTATAAGGCTCTTTTAATAAAAAGAAATCCACTGTATTCAATGTTATGAAGAACACCGAGTCTCTTAAAGACAAGCATTAGTTTTTAAATGTATCAAGAATTACATTCAAAAGATGATTACTGATGCATTCACGCCATCAAGTTCACAGACTTTGCTGAACAAGCAGTTCTCGTGTTTGAAGAACAAATCTGCACTTGTAGTATAAAGTCCTACAGAGCACTAACATAAAAATAGTGTACAATCCTGAGAACAAGTACAGGCAATTTATACTCTAGTTCAGTTTCCTTTTCAGCTAAATAATGAAAAGGAAGGGACTGGAGAAAGCTTGAAACCTCACGAGCCCCAAATAGAATTTTGCATTCTTGCAAATCAAAACCAATTCTGTTCATGAAAGACACTTTTCACAACTTCTCACTCTAGAAAGACTGGAGAATCAGGATAAAGTCTTGCCAATATAAATATTAAATTGTCACAGACACTCTTCCTAACATTACGAACACTTTATTTGGATGTATGTGTGTATGTGTAAGTATAGAAAAATGTGTATTTCATATTAAAAAATACATATAAATATCAAGACAAACAATTACGACATAAAGAATGTTGAATCATAACCACAGATGTCCTAGCCATAATTCAGAGACAGTTAACTTCTGGAAAGCCACAAGCCATCATTTTTCCTATCAGTGTATACTGATGATCAGTATGACTATTTGGATAATTCTCTATTAACCAGAGTAAATCAAACGCTGAATATCTTAGAACGAGAAAGAAAAATCAATCAGTATGGATACTCTTGAATCAGTGGAAAGCGCAAAGCAAACCTGTTTAAGCAACATAATTAAGTAATTCTACCAGCATTTGTTATCTCTAGGTATTTAGGTGTCCGTATTGGGCTTTGGAGGGACAAATTAATTTGTCTTCTGAAGTAGCTAACATGATGTTACAGAACAAGAAGCTGATACAAAATATGGTATGTGTTCTGATAATGGCAGCATTACAAACAGATAGCTGCATGTAGAAGCTGAGAATATGCAGCTTTAGCACTAACTACAGCACTAGTCAAAAATGCTTTGTTATATCAAGCCCAATAGAAATCCATTCATTAACTACATAGATGGCAAAAGTACAGCAAAAAAATGAAGCCCGTCTGGCAGCCAATGCCCTGGGCAGATGCATACCAGTACCTCACCCCCACCCAGGTCTAACATGGTGGAGGCGAGGCTACAAGCACCTTGTCCTGCCTGAAAAAGCCCGACTCTGAGCACCTGGCTGTGCCCACATTGCACTCCAGGCTCCCTGCTGCAGAGCATATCTAAGGCCACCAGCACTGGCTCTGCAGGCCAAGGGAGCCGGGAATGGAAAGCATCAGGGCCAACCTGTATGCTGGCAAAGGTCAACTTTTAAGTCTGATGGCGACCAGCTAGCAAAGTTGCTTCTGGACCTGCTCCAACACTCAAAATAAAATTTTTAAATTCCACACTTTGTAGCACTGCCTTAAATTGTCCCTGCTGGACTCAAGTTGGCTTTGCATCCCTCCTTTTGCCACAGTTAGTTTTGGCTCTTGAGATGGCCAAAAGGCATGAGCATACTGATTGGTGAGACAGTAGTCTCCATGCACACACTGATTATTGATTTACAGGCTGATTTACTTTGGGCCACCTTGATTAGGCATGGAAAAAGAGAGGCCAATATAACACTTTGCTTGCTGTGCAATGTAAAGAAATTGGCTGCATTTATTTGTCTCACAGAGAAAAACAAAAAGAAAAACATCTGCTTTCAAAGGGGACACCCATACAGAAAGGTTAAATTACAATGCTGCTTGCTTATATAGCCATGAGCAGAGCACTGACCTGTAACATGCATCTGGATACAACACCTTCAGGTACCTCAGGAAACTTCTGTCGCAGGTCATGTAAAACCTGAATATCAATTTGCTGGCTTCCTTGGGCCATTCGTATATTGCCTGGTCAGGATTGTTTTTCTACAGGCAGTTTTAGGCCTTAGTCAAGGGAGTACTCATCTCTTCTGTCCCAGCATTTTCTGGAAGAGAAAGGAAAGCCTTGAGACACCAAGAGCAGGCACTTCTGATGCAACAAAAGAACACTCCACAAAAAACTGAAACACACATACAAAATCCCCTTTCAATTATGCAACCTAAGTCACTACTTTATGTTGATGCTTTCCCGTGCGATATCTCTGGCTAAGTAATTGTTCTTCATGCACTCATAATCTTGAAAATTGCCCATTTATAGACATATCTGGGGATCAGTTTCCTTCTGTATCTGGTTTTATACTGATATTATAAAATACAATAAGAACAAAAAAAGGACTTGATTTATCCAAGTATTAAAATTATCTGGTTTCAGAACAGCATTTTTACTTATTTTAAACAAAACTAAATGCAAAGTAGTCCACATCAAATATCGGAAAATAGTGTTCACTCCACTTTTGAATGTACCTGCATTTTTACCTTTACCATCACTGTTTTTGTTTACTGTAAGGAGGATATTGTGGATATAAGTTCAATGTCTCTAAGTTTCAGAATTTACTAGTAATTGCCTACTTGTTTTTCACCCAACATACTTCAGAATACTCTGAAATTATTACTAGAAGAAAATAACACTGCAACAACTTAGGTTTCTTTAACTAATTCTGTTCCTGCTTTGAATGAAATCATGAAGAGCTATTCCACAATCACCCAATCAACACATTAATACAAATTATCTGTCCAGACCATATGATATCTACAGGCTTTTATCAAGAATTTCTACCAATAAATCTTCAAAGAATGGACCTGCATGTTAAAGGAATGGTATCTTCTTCATATAAACTAGTATTATAAATGAATGTGACCATACGGTTCATAAAAACCCTGACATAGCTAACTCCAATGTACATTTACCTCTTAAATTAGAAAATTTTATTCAAGCATCTCCATGAATTTTAATCACTTTCTCTGTGGCAGCAGCAGAGCAATTAAAAAAGTTACTCAGTTTATGTCTCACTGGAAGTGCACCTATGTTATTTCTTCAATGGCTTACAGCGCTAGATCAATCTGAGCAGTGACAAGACACTACTGATCTTGCACCTTCTTTAAAGAAATAAGGAAAAACACTGTTCAAATTAAAAAACTAAACAATTATATTGTTTATCAAAGACTGTACTGCAATATTTCTCTCACTAAACTTCAAATCTGACAAGATGGTTTACCCTAATTCAATATCAAGTGCCATTTTTCCACCCCTCTTCTACTAAGCAGTCCATAAAACTTCCTGCTAAATAGTTAACCCCCCTCAATTCTCCTAAGACTGCTGAATTTTTTTCCGATTTCTCTAACCTACACTAAAGCAAACCACTTTGCAATATGCTCTATCATTTCAGAAGAGCAAATTCTATGATCTCAATCTCAAGTTCCTTGTACAGTACCAAAATTTTGTATTTACTCTTTATTTAAATTGTATCACCAAAACAGCAGCTTCACAGCTAGTACAGCAAAAACTCCATGGAAAGAGATTAACGCATGTAGTCTTTTCAAAAAATCCACAGAGAATAAATTTTAAAAAACAGTATTTAAAACAAATGTTCCACATTGTCACCCCAGTGTTAATTTCAATGAAGTATTTTGTATTCTAACTCATTTTTTAGTGTCTGAAGTCTTGATAAAACACAAAACTACCACAATTTCCATTTATTACTATGAAACAGCAAAGTATTATAACAATTACCTTAAAATTCAAAAGTGCTACAGAAGAATTTGTCTGCACCTTCACGAGGCATAAAATGAATTATGGGTCATCATTCAAAGCCCGCAAAGTTCAATTATTTGTTGGTAGCATGCAAAACTTGGGAGATTTTTTTTTTAATATTTTTTCTACTGTACTTGAAAGTTTTGGTAGCTTAGCATCAAGCAGATACCTGCAGGCATTATAACTTTACTAAATTTGCTGATAAATGTCTGCACGCGTGCGTCAAATGTGCCAGGATAGCAAAATATGATCTTTACTCTAATATGGGAGGAAGTAAACCAAAGAGGCTCTGCCTCCACTATCTTAATTTATAGAAATATACTCCAACACAAAAAGAAAACCTTTTTTTTTCCTTAATTTCAATTACGATAGGCAACTAATATGGCTTCACTGACAATCTAACATGAAAAATGTATCATACGAATATTAAGGTCTCATTCCAATCATCACTTCAAGAAGAAAAACCCACTAAAGAGCTCAAAGATACCAAAAGATTCTTAATAAACTCAAATTAACCTTAAAGAAGACTGAAGTGACAGGTCATGAGGCCTTTTGAGGCCTCTCTAATACAGACAAATAAAAATGTTCTTGATGTCCATGATGTTGCAAGAAACTACCAAAAGGAGTCAGGATCCTTCTCCAGAGCCAAACTTAAAGGAACTGAAAGTTACTTTGACAAATGCAAGCCTAAGGAACAAACACACACCACTGCTGTCAGCCATGGAACTCAGGATTGTTAGAAATATTCTTAGAATATTTAGAAAGTTACATATGCAAGCAGAAGATAAAAGGCATGAATGCAAGAGTGAATAGCCAAGACTGCCAGTAATTAGACTGTAGAAGAAAACGGTACCAATAGGAGGCAAAGGAAACTGCTGGCTTCATTCAGAGACTCTGGCATATAAATAAAGGCAATACAGCATTACAGAAGTAATCAGAAAAATCTATTCAAGAAATTAATTATTGGAAGAAGGAAAATTCAACACTGCTGACTCAGACAAATCATTCTTCCTAAAATCATTAATGAGAGTTTAATTACAAAGGAAAACGTATAAATACTGGAGTGCAGTACAATATAAAGTTATTCTTGTAGTAATGTCCATTTATTAATCATTTTACATACTGCTTCCAGCTATTAAAAAAAACAAACCAAAAAACAAAATTACAAATAACCCCTTCAATGTGACTTTATAATTTTGAAGAGAGACAGAGATCCCAGTGCTCATTTATGCCAGAAATACTAAGTAACCGGAAGAATTAATTAGCTGTGTCCTTTTTCAAAGAGTATTGGCATGATCCCCAGACAACTTAAAAGGCCTGGCAATTGTATCATGATGGAGCTCCTGTTGAAGCTTTATTCTGTGAAAACTATTGAAACCAAAGTAAACAATGTGTCATCTCCCAAAGACTACTCAGAATCATGAGTATGAGACACAAAATAAACTGCCTCTCCTGTTATGAAAATATTCAAAGACAACTTCATGTGAAATACAATTCAGATGCCAAATACTTGGCCATTATAGTGCCGGTCCAGTGCTAGCCAAATACATAATTTTTGAAGTCTCCTTTCTTCTGACAGAGTACATGTTTAACACATCACAGACAATTCTTCAGTATAAAACTTAACTTAGTATCACACTGACTTTCCACAAAACATAAAACAAGTGTTCCTCAGAGTAAATTCTGCCAGAATGGATTTTATGAAATAAATAAACCTGAAAAAATCTAAACAAAGAAGCTGACAGACTAGAATGTTATCTGCACTTCTTGTTCGTAACTAATTTTTTCCTACTGCAACTTCACATACAGTCCATGCCACAGTAAGTATCAAAGGTAATTGTGCAGATTTTAGCATAACTGCTGTATTTAATAATTCCATTTAAGTTGTGATGCATCCATTATGACTGAAGTCCCATTTTTGGTCAGCTACCATTCAGAAAACAGCCTTTGTGCATTCAAGAGAATAGCTTTTGGAAATATGCAGAACACTGCCACAGTAACCAGCATGCCCTTCACCTTCTCCAAACTCAAATCAATGCAGCCTTTATATCTCCCTTGTTAGTTCAGCTACATCTAGTAAGCAAATTGCTCATGCTTTCCTGTGGTTTTAATCTGATCACATCTGATCTGTGTTTTACTCACGCTGTAAAAGTAATCTATCTAAAAACTTGTTTTAGAAATCTGGCTGGAAATATTTCTTAAAAGAGTGAATGCAGAAACAAGAGAACATTTTCTCGTAGCATTAATGGTGCAGGTTACAGACACTGTGCATAAAAAGACTGCTGTAATGGCAGGAAATCAGATGCAGCAAGTTGCAATGCAAGCCTGGTAGAGGTTGCTAAACCAACAGCAGAAACACACAAGCAACTATAAAGATGAATGAAAAAAACCCCAAAACCCAACAAAAAGCCAAAAAGAAACCACCCAATCCCTCTACACTTATCTCAGGCTCCTTCATCAGGACTAAGACACACAGACTATGTTTTACTGGTTTTGGAATTACCCAATGCACAGATACATTCTTCACCCCTCCTCACTCCATGCTTTCATGGGCAATACCTTCTACCTTCCCCCATATATTTACCTACCTTTTTTCCTATTATCTTATCCAAACACCTATCCAGGCACCAAGTCAACAAATACTAAGAAATTTCTATGGGCTCTTTTTTCAGCCAGACCTCAATTCAGATGTTTCAATCCAATAATTCAGCTAAAGACTAACCTTGGGTCACTTTCCATCGAGTGTTTCTTTACACCGAATTTCTTGAATGATAAAGTATAGCTGATATTAATATTGCTAGCATTTCTTTCAGCTTTCTTTAAAAAATATAATTTCTTCTCCAGTCTACAAGACTGGCAATCACATAAAAAAGATATGAATCTCTATCCACAGAAGATCCCTTTTAAGCAGGATCTTCATTCTTCTGACAGTAACAAGCTTTGCAAGCTTATTGCCAGTTTGAACTTACTTATGTGTTAACACTCCCCTTACAGTTAGAAGTATGTTTTTGTATCCCTATTGCTTGGGGAAAAAAGAACATCAGACAATAAATGCCACATTATTCTCTTGCAACCTACCTCTCCAACCTCTTACATGCCAATTTCCACATCTATTCTCTCTTTTCTTCCTCACTTATAACTGCATATTCTTGTTAAACATGAGACTAGAAACTTTCACTGTATGCGTGCCTAGCAAATGGAGGGGGGAATTAAAGAGATACCAAAATAAAGGCCAACTTTCCTTAAAGAAATTGGTTCCTAGCTACACGCAGGGCAGCACACTTAACTATGTCATTGACACCTTGCAAGCAGCAAAAAAGAAAAACCCAAGAATAACGAAACTAAAATCATACAGTTCTCTGAGAAACTACAATACAAAAAATTATAAATTTAATAGTAAGAAACAATGAAATTATTTTCTCCACATCTAGCCCTAATAGACTTTTTCTGGAAGCCTACAAGGAGCCAAATCTCAGGCAGCCTGAACACACACTTGTTTTCTTAAAATTAAAATTTCGAATAATTTTGTAAGGGAAAAAATATAGAAACAAGAACATTCTACCCCAGAGTTACATCTTCTTATTCTTTCTGCAAAAGAGATTAAGAAGTGACAGGACAAAATCCAAACGCTTACGCTAACATCGTTAATGCTTTAAATACATATTAAAAAAAAAAGTGTGAGAACTGGATGTTGGAAACAGGTTTATTAAATATTCCTAGTAGAATTTAATTGTTCTAATATATTACTCAGCCTTTCCATGGCTAATTCAAACCATTTCAATAGCTCTTCACCAGTATCTCTGCTTAAAGAATAGTATTATCAAATCCAGATGTTACACTTCACTCATTACCATCCACCTCTTAAAGAATTAATAAATTTTGCCCATCACAGCCAGTTTTGCATCTCATCCTCAACTTACTACATAGTGATACTTCCTTGTAACTGTTTGCCAGATTTCTACTCTGCACTGTTCTGAATCCAAACAAGAACATGAAAGATATAAATCTGATTTCATTGCATGACCTTAAAACTGAAAAAAAATCAGAATCTCAACCAAGCATCACTAAGAGTTTTCTCCAAGCACATTACCGAATTGGATCAAACCAAAAGACTTCTATCAAATAATTAATGATGAGCAAGGTCAGAGGAAAATGGCAAACTCTGGAACAGTTCAAAGAAATAATCTGTTCCTATGGAAAATTTATTTTAAGTGACCATACCTGGAAGCAACTCCTACCTGGAAGCTATTCCTACCTGGAAGCACAATGTGGTATTTTTTATTCCTCCAAATTAATTACAAAGAGTAATTTCCAGAAATAAATTTTTATTTAACACATTTCATAATGTCTTTTTAACTCCTGGCCAGAATAACAATGTATTTTAATGGGTCCCACAGCAAAAGTGTGCACACATGAAACATTTAAAGAGGTTTAATCTGTCAGGTATTTCCTTGGAAACTATGACCAGTTACACAATTTCTTTTTCAAGGGAAATTAGTTGGGGTTGTACCTTTTTCATGTAGAGCAAATTAAAAAAAAAAAAAAAAAAAAAAAAAAAAAAAAGGGCGTTTGTTTTCTTTGACTGTGGATTTTTTAACTTGTGCTAGTTCAGTAATGCTAATGCACACATTAAGGGATTCTATTAATGGATTGTACCTAAGTTTGGTTTGGATTTTTTTTTTCCTTTCCCTTATGTGAATTAATTAAAAACAAAGCCACCATCCTTTACTGCAGGTCATTCTGTCAATTCTATCAAAGCACAGCTGACCTTTTCACCTATAGCTCAGCAATGCGTTGGCAAATCTCATACATAAGCATGTTAAAAATGAGGTTTCTCAGATCACTGTAAAAATTTCCTCAGGAATATGGTTTCATTAGAGAAAAATCTATCACAACAGTTGAGCTTGACTTAAGCTACTGTTAGGAGTTGGCAGTTTGAGATTTGACCTGTATTCTTTGCATAGTATGTTCACAACAGAAATTCGGATCTGAAAGCTTTGAAATTTGTAAAAGGGGTTTAACTCATTTTTACTGGAGATGAACTAAAGGTGAGGAAAGCAAAACACCTCTAAGACAGCTAAGAAGGCATTTTCGATTCTTCCTACACTTATTCTCCAAGACACACCCAACTGTTTTAGAGCAACACTTCTCATGGGCTCTCCTGTTCACACAGTTCTCACAAGACCCCTCAAAGCTCTACATCACTACCCACTAAGTTGTACTGGAAATATATGTGAAGATAAAAATCAGGATTTCTGAACTACATGTGTATCTTACATACAGTATTTGATGAAACTCAGAATTAAAAGTCCAAGAATGTTATAAATCTATCCTTATGAACCATTTTCTTCACCTTAGAAGCAAGCACATACTTTGTACATGTCTTGTAAAACCTGTTTCATGGCAATTGTAGGATGTCATATGGAAATGAGATACACAAAGCTAAAATTGCATTGCATAATCCAGTCAGGGCATTTTTAAAAATTATATTAATGAATGCCACAGTAACTGTAAATTCTGCCTGCATTAGGACTCCAGTCCTAACGCTCTTCATCTCAGTTTTACCTAGATAATCAAAACTCTCTACCTTCCAATAGATTTATTCCCTTTTTTATTATGCAAATGTGTACATTTGCTTCCATTTGTCAGCTTCCCAACGAATGAAAAACCCATTATTAATTCACAGGAAGGTCAAGTAGCAGGTATTAATCTTCACATCTCCAACTGTGATTGTATCAGGTTTCTTCCACAGATTAACAATATGAGAAAGCTGTCAAGTATTTTTTTCCTTCTGCATACCTAATTTCTACTCACTAAAGAGTAAAGCTTCCATAAAGATAATCCTCTATGAACTCTCTGAAGTCAAAAGCAGGTGTGGCTATTTTGAAGAGTATGTACTATTTACAGTGCAACTGTTTTAAGAGTTGAAGGACGAGAAAAAAACTTAAGACAATAAAAATGCCAATCAGAGAACGAGGCAGGAAAACCACACCTATATTACCATGCCTCATTTAAAAATCTTGGAAAAGTAACTGAAAACAATGACAATCTACAAAAAAACCCCATGATTAAACTTTTTTTTTAATTCACTTGACTATATCTCAATTAAAATCTGCTATTGGTTGATGACTGACAAAAAGATACAAAGGCTTCCTAAAATGAAGCAATTATTTTAAACAACCGGTTTAAATCTAACTAGATGCTGTAGCCTCTCACAGATTCTCTGATCACAATGTGCACTGATGTAAGAACATAAATATCCTACTGAGTCAAAGAAGAGTCATTTTAGCTCAGTGCTGTTTGCAAGAGTGGCAACAAAAAGCAATATTCAGGAAGAACATGTAAGCCTAAGCCTTTTTTGAGCACATTCCTATCATTCTCTCCGTATGTATAACTCTGTGATTGAGGAAACTCAAGCACCCTGTCTATTCTCTTTACAGATCTCTTGATGATTGATTTGATTAATCAAATTCCTTTTCTTAATCTACTGAAATTATCTGCTCCTCCAATACACTGTGGCAAGGAATTCCAGAAGCTTATTACTCTGTGCATTTTGAAACAGTAATTCAAAATCAACCAAAAAATCTTCCTTAGTCTTTTTTCAAACTCTTGTCCTACAGGTCCTGAGTGGTACACAGTTCCAAGCTGCAGGATTTCATAACACTTCTGCATTCACCACCTGCCTTAATTTTCAAATTTCACTAAATCCTCCTACAATCTTCACCTCTCCAAACTGGTAAGTCTGTCGCCTAAATGCCTCCTGGGAAGGCAAGAGCTGTTGTCTTGATTAAAAATAAAATAACATCTTCTCACTACCTTTCCTAACACCAACATATACTCCCTGAAATACAGGGACCGTACCCCTCAGTACTGAAGGGGAAAGCTTACCAGAGCTTTACACAGGAATGGAACCATTTCTCATGTCCTCAGTATCTTTCTGATGATGCCCAATAGCTCTGCTAGCTTTTCCATCTGCTCCTGAACATTGCACCAGAAGTTTCACCTAACTCCTCACAAATCCAAGACTGCTCTTTTCAATTGCAATGAGTCATAAATGTAGTATCTGTGTGCAAGACCAGGCTCATTACACACCAGGAGATGACATACTGGAACTTTAATAACCTATCTCTCTTTTTCCCACCTATATCTTTCCTTCTCCTATCTAGTACCTTAACATCATTAGCTAAAAAAGTCTTAAACATTCTCCAATATTTTACACATCCTAGTTCATTGAGTAGAAGACAGCTTGATAAAAGCTACAACATGAAGAAGAATCAGAACGACATCCAAAGATGTCCAGCATACGTAAGAGTCAGAAAAGTGTGAAGTTTGTGATACAAAGCCTGATGTACCTGTTGGCTGTGACCACAGTAACAAGTAGGGTAACAAGCACCTGAAATTGTTACTTTGTTTATTGCTATCCCCCGCTTTCTTGACTTTTAATCACCACTCTACACACAGAACAATTCTAA